TAGATGCCTAGTTTGACAAACTTTGGGATGTTTATATCACGGGGTAAACAATTCTTTCTTCGTTGGCTTGCAGTTGTCTTTTTTACCCTGTGATTATGATGAAATCTAGAAGCTAGTTATTGGGTTTCTGAGACAGAATGAAGTTCTTCTGTGTAGAAATGATTATAGAATCTGGTTAAAATTGTAAGGTTACTGTAAACGTGTATCAATGTGAGTTGTTATGTGAGTGTATGAAACTTGTACGAAAATTTAGGTTTTCTGGGCATATCTACTGGTGGATAATGTTATAATAGTTTTACTTTTGAATTGCTCTTTTTTGTGAACTTAGTAATTAATAAAGAATTTAAAAAACAGTTGTGGAGTAAATGAGGGGGACTTGTTATGTCCACCGCTCCCAGTTTATGGTTTGTTCAACAAAATACCTGAACCCTAGGCTAAAATACTCACAGTGTCGGTAAAGTATCTGATGGCTAGAAATTATACACACACTCCATGTATTCTTGGATCTCACCACAACATAGGCCTGAAGCCCCTTGATTCTTATATGTCTTACTTGATCTAGTTTCCTCTCTCAGAGTAGCAGTGACCCAAAGCACAAATGTCTTTGCACCCCCCAAAGTGAGCTTTTCCTTCCTCCATCAGTACAGCCAAATTATGAACTTGAATCACTTTGAAACTGGTTTCAATCCACTTTATTGGCCATAACCTCTCTAAAGAAATTTGGATCATAATTTTGTGATGAGTCGAAGCATTCTTTGTTGGAGATCCTCAACTCAGTTGGAGAACAACAGTTTCCAGAGATTTATGATAGCATCCCCCCCACATCCTTACAGAGGGATTAAGCTATGATTGCATTCTGGGAACTTCCAGTATCCTTGTTGGAGTTTGTATACTAAGATTTCAACTAGGAAGGGAAGTTTTCTTTGGATGCATCACTTAGAAAAATCTCATAATTCTCCCCCACATTTTTTCATGGCTGACTTCAAGGGCTATATAAACATATGGTGGGGGAGAGAAAGGATGAGCAAAGAGGCAAATAAAATGTGAGAAACAAAACAGAAATGAGGAAGTTGAACATACTTAAGACCAACATGGGGGGGATGTACGTTTAGCTTGTATATGAGTTATTCAGAAGGGCAAGAAAGTTCAGCAGACTATCTTTTGTATGCCTGAAGCCCATAAAATCAGTACACAAAATGTATACATTTGGTGAAGGATTTTGCTTTTCAGAATTGACATATGAACTCAAAAGGCAGTAAGGTGCGCATCCAGAACTGGACAATATCTCTGGGGGTGAATTAATCTGACCTGCATCTTTGGTAAGATTTCCTAGGAGATAAGCAGATGCTTTTCTAGAGCACGTCCACATTCCATTGCTTTGGAAGGATCCTTGCAGCCACCGAGAGAGGAGTGCTAGCTTTGAACTAGAGAACACCTTTCCATTAAGTGAGATGAGGCTGCGTTTTATTTATTTTGTATGTATTATTTATGTATTTATGTATTATATTCACACCTAGCCTTTCCTCCAAGGAGCCATGAAGACTTACAGAAGGTCTCCATGCCAAAATAGTGGCCTGGTCAAAAAATTGTTGTCCCCCAAATAGCAGGAAAAACTCCCTTATTTGGAAAATAGATGTCCTATAGCCCTCATAACCTATATTCCAGATGCCTTCCCAAAGGATGCAACCTGGTTTGGCCATCTCACCAGTTTTCCTTTTGTGCTGTGTACTAAACTGCTTTCTCTTCTCTTTTCAGGCACGACTGTGTGTCCTCCTTGTGACAATGAGATGAAGTCAGATGCTATCCTCGAGCACTTGTGTGCTAGTGAATTTGGTAAGGAAAACCCTGTTCCCAGATTTTTAACTCTCCTACGCAATGATGACCAACTTCTGGATTCTCTGGCTGCTGTATTCCTCCAGATAACCAAGTCCTGTTACCAGTACAGTCTGACTCGCCTCACCAATGTTCAGGCTCGGACCTGGCATTGACTAGCAGTCAAGGTTTCACATATGTGGAGCATAATTGCTCGTGCATGTTGTGAGCTCATCAGCTGAGGAGCCAGTGAGCTTCTTGAAAAAGCCTCCCTGGAGCTAAACTGGCAGTAGCCCTTTGCCTTTCCAGAATGTACACGTATAAGCAATACAGTAACATGTTTATGGAATATACATGGAGACTCATGGCTTCTTCTGCTTAAAGTGAACTCGTTACTTCTAAGGCTGGATCTGGGCCACAGGTGCCCGATTGTCCATCTGCATTCTCAGCCATCCATGTCTAGCAGGGCAGCAAACAAAATGATGGGTCTTAGCAATTGTGGCATGTTCAGTGGTTTATCTGATGGTGGGCAGATTCGTACTGGAGAAAACACTGCTTAAAATGATGTAGCCCTGATCTTTGAGGGCTGTGTAAGTCAACATGGTGCCCGGACACCAACACACATTTGTGAATTGATGTTCAAACTGAACCTCCAAAGAAGGGATGTTAGTGCTCTCATGATCTTGGCTGGCCTGATTTTTTTTTTATGTGGCCCTGGCTGGTTCCCTGTTTTGCTGGTTCTCCAGGCTTTGATGGATCTATTGTTCTAAGAGCAGTCAAAGTTATATACTCTTTGCGTGACTGCCTGTGTATGAATTACATCACTCTTCTCAGAAACACAAATGTTTGTTTATGATGTGGTAACCTTGGGGAAAAAACCACCCAGTCGACAGTGTCCTACAGAATACCGTGGGCTTTGTTAATATTAATAACCCTTAACTCTGACCCTGCATGCAACCCTCTGTTGTATTTGGGAGGCAAAGATGCTGATCCATCCACCATTTGCAAATTCAGAAATCTGAAGTTTCAGAGTGGCAGGATGGCATTTAATGCAGTGATTGCTTTGGCTAGCCTGCCTTGGACCCTTGCGCTCGTTCCTAGCATAGATGGGTCACTTATGACATGGGTTCACCTCTAGATGTCACTGTTGTGTCACATGCTGAAAGGGAGAGGCTGATGGTGCCTGTAGCTCAGATTTGGGTTGTGCCATTGAGTCTCTTGGGCAACTGTAGTATGACCATCCAGAAAACTGGCATGTAGTTAGGTGGTTAGCCTTTATTTATGAAGCTGATTCTCAAGAACTAATGTAGCACTGTGTCTGAACATTATATTAAATACACAGCTACTGCCAAAAATGGCAAGCTGGTATATAATTCCCTATCTATAATGTTTAGTAGGATTTATCCCATGTTTAATAAGGCTTATCATTTTTTGCACTTCCTAGCCCTATATCATGGGCATCCAATGATGCAGTGGGGATGAAAAATTAAGAATCTTCAGATGAGTGGTATGTTAGATGCCATGGAAATGGAGAGGAGAGGTAAGAAGGTGGCTGCCATTCTCAGTGGCACCTGTGTATGTAGGGTAAAATCTAATTTGCTATTATGAAGACTCCAGTTCAAATATCACTCCAGAAGTTAACTTGCAAGGGTGCTTTAGGCAAGCTACTCTCTCTCCCGCCCTGTATTACCTACCCCTACCTTATGCAATGTAGAGATGATAGTGTTATAAGCTAATTTGCAAGGTTGTTATAAGGATTTCAGAGAAATTATATATGAAACACTCAAAATCATTATGTAAATAATTATTATTATGAGTCATGTTAATAATTTTTGACGCCCGCTTTCTCGCTGTGATAATATTAGTGTTGTGTGTATTTTGTGATACAGCCACACCCCAATTGAGTCAGTTGCCATGAATAGCTGTGCAGATAAGAACACTTGCGTAATAGGTGCTCATGTGCCTTAATTTGTTTGGCCTTGAGAGTATGCATCACTGTAATGATGCTTGGCATTTGTATAGCACTTTCAGAGTTCAAAGTGCTTCTTATATATGTCTGTAATCCTAACAACAGCATTGCAAGGTAGGGCCAGTATTATTCTCATATTAGAAATTAGATACTGATGCTGAAAAAGCATAACTGGCCTAAGGTCACCTAGTATATTTGTGGCTCAGATGAGATTTGAACCAGTGACCTTGTGGATCACAGGTTATTCTTTTGGCTGTTATACTACAGCAGCTCCCATCTGCTCTGCTCCTGATTCCCCCCTCTTGAGCTTGTGAGGCTTCATCAGTCACTGTGTATACATTTTGAAATTTATCTCTACAGCCAGTAAGGCTCTGGATTTGCTTTAAAAATCAATAAGATTACAATTCTTTGAATACTTGAAGTGCATGTGAAAGACTGAATTCCATGCTTGTGTGGAATTGCCAACTCCGGCTTGAGAAATTCCTGGAGATTTGGGGGCAAGACCTGCGATGGTGAAGGTTGGGGGGGGGACTCTTTGGGGATGTGGTGCCACAGAGTCTACCTGGCAAAGCTGAAATTTCCTCCCAGGGAACTGATCTCTGAGTCTGAAGATCAGCTGTAATTCTGGGAGAATACAAAACAGCTCTCTTGATTTGTGGGTCTGCTTATTCCTGCAATGGGATATGTTAGGACAGTGTGGTGAGTTCTGAGTTCAAATTCATAGTTTAGATAGGTAGAAATTACTTGGCTTCCTAGTGTTGGGCCACAACCCAGCTTCAGTATGCCAGCATTGGTGGTGGTGGGGGATTCTGTGTGGTTTGCATGCTCATAACTTGTATCTAAAAGATCACACCTGTTGGCATTATGAATAAAATGGCATGACCAGTGGAACATTTGAAACAAGTTGCTGCATGTGTGCAATGTCAGCTGAGTACACACTGAAGGTACAGGTGGAATCTCTGCACCAATGCTTCTTGCAGCTCAAATGTGGGAATAACCATCACGTTATGCTTTTCTGTTGGGCTGTGTATGCTATGATTAAGCAAAAGAACAGAAGAACGCAGCATGCATGTTATTGTTGTAGAATTAGGCTGAGAATTATACCTCCCCCCTTAACTAAAAAGCAGGCTTCTAGCCCTTATGGTTGTAACGGTGGGCTTAAGAACATGTGGGTGATACCTGCTGCAATGTTGGAAGCAGAAGAGGTGGTCAAAGAATTTCTGACAGGTGGAAGGTGGCAGGGTTTTAGTGGTAAAAAAGGCATCTTTGCCTGTGGAAAGTCCAAGACAGAGTCCTTCGCACCTCCTGATCACAGCAGATATTGGGAAAGATCTTTCTCTGCCTGAGATCTCGCAAGGAGGAGAGAAAACTAAGCTAGGGAGACCATTTATTCCCTTCAGTGTAAGGCAGCGTCATGTTTTTGTATATGTTCCTTGTGCTTCCCCATGACTGCCAGAACCAAAATTAATTATGCAAAGTAGTGAGAATCAAAAAATGAATGAGGCAAAATGCATATTTTCTCAGTTTGCATAATATATACAGGAATATTCCTTTTTTCCCCTCAGTACAAGCATTTAGATTGTCTAGGTGATATAGAAATAATTTTTTTTCTACCAAAGAGGACACACAGCCGCACGACGGTGTCACTTCTGATGCCCACTAAGATGAAGAAGCCTCATTTCGTACTAAACCCCCACCCGTTAGAGACTGAAAAACATGCAAAGCAGTACTTAGGAAAGAATTCCGAGCCCTCTGGAAAAGGGTGCCTGAGAGTGGAGTTAGTCCAATAATCGAAGCCTGCTGCAGGACCAGTTCCCCAGCAGAGTTGCCAATTCCTGAAGATCAACATCCTAGGACTTGGGTGCAGTGTTTCCTCTAAGCTGAGTTAGTGTGAGCTAGCTCACAGTTTTTTAGCCTTTGGCTCACACATTTTTGTCTTAGCGCTGGAAGGATGGCTCCAGAGCAAACTATCACTCACTCACAACTTTAATGCTAGTAGCTCATGAAGTAGAATTTTTTCTCACAAGACTCCACAGCATAGAGGGAGCATTTGCTTGGGTGAGGCCTGGGCTCTCTGGTTCAGCAAACCCACCAAAAATGACTGAGTCCAGGGCAGAGTCCAGTTTCAAATTGGTCTGTTCACTTAGGGTGTACAGCTGAAAACAACAACAAAGACAAAAATAATCTGGGGTGGGAACCAGGCTTAGCCTTGCATTTTTGGCAACTGGGTGGAAAGCAAAAAGCCAACTGAGTTTCTTTTTGTTGTTGTTCAGCAGTTCCTAGTTTTGAGAAAGAATAAAACCTTTTCCGTTCCTTTGGCCTTTCTTCAGCTTACAATTTGGAAGGAAGATCTAGCATGGGTCTAATAGTGGTTCTGGGGTGCAGTAGTGGATGCCCATCCAGAATGCCCACATAACCAAGGCTGGCTCTGATTTATGTCCAGTGAAAGCTTTATAGAAATGAGTGATATTTATGGTGTGCTGGCAAATGGACTTTCCTGGGCAAATATAAAACATTAGGTGTGCATTGCTTGGGAATATTGTTGGCTATCCCATACAGTCAAAATGCATGCCTGCTATTCAGTATAAAAGTAACCATTGCATGCCTGCTATTCAGTATAAAAACCAAACATCATAGGATGTCAAATACAAATATCCAGTGCCTGGCATATATTCTGTGGGGATATTTGAACAGGATTCCAGAGGCTTGCTCATTGGTCTGTTGCAGGAAAAAAATTCAGTGGCACCTTATGGACGAACACATGAAACTGCTGTATTTTGGCGGCATAATCTTTTGTGGACTAGGGCCCCACTTTGTCAGATGCATGAAATGCTGTCCTAAGGTGGCAGGCTATTTATTCATCTAAACAAATGATATCCTGCCTCTCAGTTTATTGGTTGTTGAGGCAGATGACAGAATAAAATTCCCGATTAAAATGAATCAATAACCATTAAACAGCAATTAAAAAAAAATTAAACAGTAAAAGAAGCACCCAGCAAAATGTGCATATGCCCATCTGTGCGTCTGCCACTTGAGGAGAATGCTTCATGCA